AACTTAAGCGCAATCACCGATCCCAAATCGATATAATGTTTATTCTATAGGTAATATTTCCCAAAAATAAGTAGCCTATACTTTCCGTCAAAACATAAACCGATTAAAACCAAAATTTCGTCTGGATCAGGCAAAAATTGCGGGAGTTATAAGGAATTCACACACAGACGACGGCTTTTATAACAGTGATGTTAAAGAAAGTCGACGGCCCGACCAATCGACCACAGGATTACCGATTTAGAAGTTAGTGCCACCGAAATCGCCTGGAGTCATTAGACGTCAGGACACGAATCATCGATGACGTTGCTATTTAGATTAGATTTCGGTAACGATACTACTTCCGTTTTTCGGTAAATGAAGCGGCACGGGTGAATTCAAATCAAATTAATAAATAAAAACCGCTTTAATTGATATTCACGTAATATAAATGGCATCCAAGAATTCGCTTAAAGGCGAGTAGGTCAAATTAAATAAAGATGTAAATTGTTATTTAATGCACGAAATACGGCTAAAAAGGCTTAGAAAGGCTCTGTTTTGGAGCCAGAAACGAATTGATCCATTTTATATTGTTTCTTATGAGAAAATTTGTTTCGGTTTTAGGACAAATTGGTTTTCGAACATCTTTTGGGAACGAATTACGTTCGAAAACCGAAGTTTGACTGTCTTAACAAATAGTATATCAATTACAAGATATTTCAGCAGAAAAAAGTGAAAGGATATAATTTCTAAATAGTGAATAGTAATATTAAAATAACAATTATTATTTTTTAGAAAAAAGAGCGTGCGTATTTTGAATATAGAAAAACCACAACAATCGGTAACCTAAATAGTTTAAGTAGCTGTTACATTACACGCAACTGTTTTGTTGAAATAACTAGAAATTTGAGATTGTAATCATTGTCACAACTCTAAAATTAGATCGAGTCAAGACCGAAGATCGCCATTGCTAAAAATTTGGATTCGCATAAATGCAGCTTTGTACGTGTATTTGTTTATTTAAAAATATAAATTGTATTTTTTTACTTACATTTGCCGAGGGTCGGTGCTTGAGAAGCACTGCTCTGTACTTTATTTTTGATAATAATCCTAGTGTCCGGTCTGAGGACCTAAATAGTAGACGTCAGCCCGTCGTTTCGGATCAGAATTTTAGAAAATTTTGAGCGGTTTGAACCAAATGTCATTTTGTCTTTCATTAACCAGCCAATTCCGCAGTAAACTTAGCTGTACTCGCAGCGGAAATGAAAGAAGACTTCTCATTCCTGCTGTTAGTACTCGTCAAACGGAGAGTTAATCTTCAAAGCAGGTGAAAAAATCGTGTCCCTCACACATCCATATATACAGAAAACCCTTCAATTCGCATTTCTCAACGTTCCAACGCGCCACGAGCCCAAAAATGTAAAAATGAGAAAAGAAACGCAAATATAGCCTATATAATAATAATTGCACGGATAATTTGTTTATCATTCGTCGTGTTAATTGAATTAATTCCTCAAAATTAAATTATTTCGTTTTATCTCAAAGAGGGATTTACAATATTTCAACGGGTTTATCCGTCGTACGGTATAATAACACGTATACATTTTTAATTTAGTGATGTAACCAATATTCGGTTACTATTCGGTATTCGGCCTATTTTTCGCTATTCGGCCGAATACCGAATACCTAAAAACGGAAGTAAGAAATAACAAAAACGCAGTAAATTAATCATTTTGGTATTTAGATTTAATGTTATCGGGTTGGCGTTGTTTGTTTATATTTATTTATAACTTATAACACGCACAAAATAAAAAAGCACATAATATTAGTCATACGTATTCACAATTTATAATTACAAAGATCGGCGCACGTACACGTCTATTCGTTCGAGAATCGTCGCACATCCGAGGGTCCGACCCCGCCTATCCTTCTTTTTAAGCGCTCGTCTTTGCTCTTCCCTTTCTTTTTCCTCTATCGCTCTAATCCACGTATGCCTGTGCATACATCATAATACGCCCTCGCGATACTTTCGATTCGTCGCTTTTCCGTCGTAGAGTTCCCATTTTACAATTACGTGACTCAGCCTGGTGATAACGGAGAAAAGAGAGCGATAGGACGTCGGTATAAGTCACAGTTTATGATTTCGCAGATTCGAAACAGCTCGGTAGCCCGAACGACGCCGGGCTTTCGCCCGTGCACGCTAAGTAACTTTCGTGACAAGCATTTAGCTTTCCGAAGCCTATGACAATTGTTTGGCATTCACTGCCGCGAATTTCGCGCCAATAAGCTGCCTCGACTTGTTCCAGGCAGCTTATTTCGTATTTATTTTCACATTTTCACTTGGCGGTCCTTCTCTGTTCTTTTTCCGTTATTTACACGTGTAGGTCATTTCGTTGTTATCCGCATTTGATATCATCACTTATCGCATACTGCCACCACGCTCTTGTCTGAACTGTCAAGAATTAACGCGATTGGCGAAGCGTAGTGACAGCGGACCAATAGAGAGCGGGGTCCTCGCCGCAATGCGGTTTGCGCGCCAATTTTCGTACGTGCGTTAATCGAGCCGAATAGTTTGGCCGAATATTCGGCTATTCGGCCACACTCCTCAGGCCGAATATACTATTCGTTGCAACACTAAATTTTTATACGTCAGCTTATGACACGCTTTAGAAATTACATATGAAAATATTCTAGGAAAGTGTAAATATTAATGTTTATTATGGTATCATTTTGCAAATCTAACTACCTGTTATAACTTTCCTGAAAAATTATTACAAAGGATATGACGTTGTCGCATTGCATTATCTATTAGTCATTGTTCGTGGCACACGGATGAGTTGTTTCGCTTTATTTTTGTGTACTTATTCTCGATGATAATTAATTTAAGCGTTAATTAGATTTATTTTTAAAGAAGATAATTAAAATTTCATTTATTTTATATATTATAAATTATTGACTCGAAGCTACGTGTATATAGGCCTAATACAGCTTTACTCTGGTAAACTGCAAAGGGTATATTTGTCGATTTTCTTTTCTTGGCTAAGAAGTAATGTTAACGAATTTTGTCTATCTTACTTTAAGCTACAGAAAATTAAATTTATGGAGAAAGAAAAGTAATAATGTAAAAAAAATTGAAATTAGGGCCTATAAATACAACTCTATTCGTATAATTTATAACATTTAAAGTAGGAAATTACGCCAATGCTGGATCTAGAAGCGTAATAAGGAAAAATTCGTTTTCGAAATGTTGACTTATTCGCTGCCAGAAGCGGATTACGTTCCTTCGAGGCCCTAGGAGCAAGTTTTAATAAGGTCCTTTACGTATTTTTTGTACGAGAAAGAATAAAATCCTTATCTAATAATAAGTTTTTTTCTTTATAATACACTGCTGGCCAAGTAAAATGCGACACCCGCAATATCTGAAGTCCTACACAGTGTTGCCAGCAGTATATACACTTTTAAAAACGTTGACTAAATTTTTAGATGCGTATTAACTTTTTGCTACGTAAGTTTTGAGGCCTCCGAGACTAGGCGCGCGCCTAATGCGCCCGTTGGGCAATCCGTCACTGATTATAAAATTTATCTATTATCAATTTATTTTAATCGCGTATTAAAAATTCATTTGTAATCGTTTAGATAATTCAAAAATAATAAGGAAAAACGAAAACAAAAATATATTTTATTATTTTTTTAAATATGCATTTATTATTTAAATTATTTTTTAATATTACACATAGATATATTTTGTAACAGTGACTATACATTACGGTTTATAATCGACTTGTTTTGCGACTACTGAAAGCGAGTCATTCTATAATATAAATACAACACTGTATTATCAGCACTGTTTATTAACAGATGAGTAAGTCAATGTTTATTACCGCAACTAAACAGCTTACATTGTTTTACTCGTATCGTCAGATCGAAGGAAAAACAAGTTAGTCAAACGTATACAGTACATAATTCTAATCTTTAACCTATTTAATTATAAATCGATGCCGATACTATTGACTTTATTATATGTCTAGTTTAACGTAAGAAAAGTGTAAATTTTAAGAAACTTTTAAAGTATATCGATGACTAAAACTTATAATAATTTCAGTTAATTCTTCGTCGTCAACCGTACACGCTATAGTTAAATTTATAGATTTTTAGTAATAATTATTTAAATTTTTTTATATCGAGATTTGTTTCTATCTTTTGTAAGGACGTTTTAAATCAACAGGCAAATTACAATTTATTCTTTTAGATCTGGTATTAATTACGGCTACGCAGATATTGCCCAATTGAAAACACCATGGAGAGATTTAGAAATATTAGTTATTTGAGTGTTATTTACCAGCGAATTTTATCTTTTATTATTATGTAGACCTACATATATATTATTTTTACATAATATTTAATATGTCTGACGTTCCGGGTGACCGGGGATGGAAAAATATCGGGAATTTTCCGTGGAGTTGTCCCCTCTCTTATTATCGGATTGCGGCGTTATAAACCTTACCAAATCCATAATGCGCTGGCTGAAAAGTATCCGCGGGGTGGGAAAGGTTTCAAAGAAAATTAATTTTATAATAGTTCGAGGCAAATTTCCGCGGAATATTATATTTTGGATTCAATTCTATTCTTAAATTTGTGTTTTATTAACATTTTCCCGTCAACTAATTAATAATATACCTCGTATTCCGTTTACGCGCAATTTGCTGTCTATCGTTCTTTTACGGATTAATTTCATTTACTTTAAAGTTAATAAATAAAAATGTAAGTAGAGAAACGTTTTCGGTATCTGGCATACCTTCACCATACCTTTATTTGCGAGTATAGTCCTAAGTACTGTAATAAATAACGTTATAAACAGAAATGAAAATTTGTTTTGAACTTCTACTCGACTAATTTCGTATAAATTAACTGTTCATTAAAAAAAGGATTAAATGACGAAAAATATAAATTTAGCGGATATTTCTTAAGTTAATTATCCCGAATTGTTCTAAAAGTAAACACTCGGGCGAAACGAATAGATTGGATATTATTTCCTGCCTTTACAACGTATTATAAACTAGTGCGAATATATATGATTTCCTTTTAAGCGAATGTAATTTTCTACGCGTATACTCGTATTCGTCATACGGACATAATTTCTAACAGATTTACCATTTCCTATATTCAAACAGGAAGATGATTGTTTTTAGGTAAGTTTTTATATATTTTACGTTTATTTTATTTATCGGATAAATTTAAATTTTCGCAAATAGACCAAATATTTACTTTTCCTTATTTCGATATATAACTGGGCCGCAATCTTCAAATCGTCCGTCTGTCCGTCCTTCCTTAATCTCGACGACGTAGTTGGATAAGTATCAAAGTTATGTTGTTATATTAGAAATTGCTCGGTTGTACCCTAAACAATTTCACTTATGCGCAAAATGAATGTGTCAGAGAAAAGCCAAACTTACGATTTGTGAGATGAAATAAAATTCGTTTCGATACAGCGAATGATAAACGTTACTGTTTGTATTAGCACATTGGCTAAAAACGGGTAATCTGAACGTCAACCACAGAGGTTCCCAACATTTTTCTTCTATCGACCCCGCATAGAAACTGTTCTTTTCGATCGACCCCCTTAGAATTTTTATTTCCCGGACGTTTTATATCAAGCATGAATTTTCTACACGATTGTTATTATTATTTGAAAATTATCTGAAATTCTCGAAAAAATACAATAAGAATCTGATTTTCCATCCATCCTCGATTGACTTCTTTCAAAATTTCGTTGACCCCGTAGGGAATCTCTGGTGTAGTAGATAAATATAATTATGTTCCGTAGTATAATTTTACAAAGGACCGAGCGTGGTAGAAAACAATGCTAGCCATAACGCGACTGACGAGCCACGTATTACATTCGAACATTAGGAGCGAGACTGGCGTAACGCGTTCGATCATTGGCAGTTTCTACGTGAAAAGCTTAGATAACATCGCTTTAAAAAATGATAAAAATATGCTTACGTAATGCAATTGATCTCTTCGGGTAAATTACATTATATAAATATTTACGCAATAAATAAAGTTAAGGTCTAACGTTATAGCGATACATTTTATAGATGTATTTGTTTAATATCTGTATTTTAAGGATAATATTTCTGTTATCAGACAGTTTGTACGCGAGGTTCATTAAAAGGTTACTTTTAATTTTCGTTGGGCTACAATTTGAAAAAATTGAAGACCTATAAATTCCCACTATAATCCGTCCGTCGCCCGTCTGTCCTTCCTTAATATCGAGAACGAAGTTAGACCGACGAAATCATAAACCGAGTGTGGAAAGAATAGGAGCGGGAAGCCTCGATTAACTACGCACGAACTTCCGGTTTAGACCGGAGATGGATTCAAAATTTTCTGCCCAACGGAGTTCGATAGATGACTCTATCGCTAGCGGGAAAAGTACGATGTACGGGGCTTGCCAAGATCTTTTACACTTTTGAATTCGGGGCACCTCGAACATCGAGAACTGCAAAAATGTTCTGTACAGTACGTATGGATGTTAGTGTGTGTTTTTGAGTGTGGCACGATTTTGCTCACCCACTTTGAACTTAATAATTCCTGCGTCTTTTGTCGAAAATTTCTGAAAGTTTGCGGGAAGGTTTGCGTATCGGGGATTGAGGCTATTAAAATTTGGTGGTTAAAGATGAGGAGGATCGCGTGTCGTATTCGAGTGGAATCGGATTTAATGAAGATTTTACTCGTTATTAGCATTTACAATTATTTTATAAAAACCTCTCAAAATTAAACTTTTACCAGTTTAAAATAATTAATAATGTAAAATATTTTGAAATCTTAAATGGGAAGAGATTTAAGGCGCGTATAGACAATATACGTATGAAAATTTACGTACTGCGTAAAATATATCTACGATATTATCGACCGTATTTCGAAAATATGTTTCGTATTATTGTTACGTTATAGAAAACCCAAATATTTTTGCAGTTAAATAGTCGACGTAATACTTTACGAAATACGTAAGTTAATCGTATCGAGTATTCAGATTAATCGATTATAATACAGTTTTCGCTTCTAGTATCGCTAGTAACCGTTATTTAACCTAATTGTTTGTAGTAGCAAAATATCCGGTTTCCTTCAAATCATTTCTAGAATTCAAAATATTTTTTATCTGCAATTAACAATAATACAAAATAAATATTCGAAACATGAGTTAAAGTTATTACTAATACAATACAATAGAGTATCGAATATTCCAAGTAATGTTAATCGAAGTACGACGGATTAATTAGCCCAAATAAACTGGATTTGCGTGCTTAACTAACGACGTTTTCAATTTTTGGTTAGAAGTAATTATTAACGTAAATCTTTTGAATTTTGCAATAATATACTTTCAATTTTATTACAACTGTATTTATTAAAGCAAATGTAAGCCTATGATTATGATATAAATGTCTTTCGTATTTCCCGTCTTTTATATATCGATAGGTCTACAGAGGCCAGAAAATGACTCCTCGAGATTTTTACATTTTTGAATTCGGGGAACCTCGGAACATCGATAAATGCAGAAAAAAAAAATTGAGGGTTTCCGTATGTAGGGATGTTGTTGCGTGTGAGAGCGCTTTGTTCGTCAACTTTGAAGCTAACGATTCCCGTCTTTTGTCGAAATTTTCTGAAATTTTGCAGGTTGGTTTGGGTATTAGGGGGATCGATACTATTAAATTTCGGTGGTTGTAGTTTGAGGGTAGGAAGATAGAGAGGAGAGGATCGTGTGTTATATCTCGAGTCGGACTTAACGAACATTTTATTCGTTATTAGCAGTTATGGTTTTTTTTTTAAATTTTAAATTAAACTCGTCCCTACTCTCAAAATTAAGTTTTTTGCCATTGTATAATAATTAATTATATAAAAGATTTTCTTAAAATATCGTGACAAATACAACCGAAGAGTTATCGTTTCGTTCATCTATACAGGGCGTTTCAAAAAGAATCATCCGATTTAAGAAAAATCATAAATATTTAGCATTTAATCCGTTTTGATGGAACTATGTACTGTTAGATAGAGGAAATTCTCGAGTTTTACGCGGTTGCCGATTGGCAGCATCGCCGCTCTTCGTTTACCCGTCGCTTCCGTTTTTCAAGATGGCGACTGGACAACAGAAACCATTTTGTGTTTTACTTTTTGCCAAGTGTGGGTCCGTGCCAGTAGAAAACTAAATATTTCCACAACGTATGTCTGGCGTGTTTTGCGGCGACGTCTGATCACGAAACCGTACGGGATTCGATTAATGGGAGCTCTTCGAGCGGGTGAATTGGCAAAAGTCGACACGGCCGTGTTCGTCACCCGCCAGCTCTTCGAGCGGGTGACGAACACGGCCGTGTCGACTTTTGCCAATTCATCCCGGACAAGGAGACAGAAGATGACAATTTTGTAAGACGCTTAGTGTTTACTAACGACGCTACTTTTCTTTTAAGTGGGAAGGTAAACTTCCATAATGTTAGAATATGGGGTACGGAGCAGCCGCATCAAATTGTACAGCGCGAGAGAGACATATGCCACGCATCCAAAGGGGAACGTATTGAGCACCTATGATTTAATATTTAAAAATACTCGAAGATTAACACTGTAATATAAATTTATTCTTAAGTGTGTATCTTCATTACTTTTCATAATATAATCATTTTAAATCGGATAATTCCTTTTGAAACGCCCGTGTTTAAATGAGGATGTTTGTTTGTTTGTTCGCTATACAGTACTGTACATACTTAGGCCATTCGACCAATCGCTACGAAACTCGACAGTTATGTCTTTACATACTTTTAACTTAGATAATGTCATAAATGTCACCCGAAAATATTGATTGGATTTCTATATATCAGTTAATTTCTCTCTACCTTCGATTTGCTGGATTTACATGTAGCGCCGTCTATTGGCAAAAAATTTAAAAAATAATAAACTCAATATAATTCTTAAAATGAATGTAATTTAAATACAATGGAACCTCGGTATACGACCTTAATCCAAGCAATTTCTCGACACGATCTAACGTCTTCCATCTCTGTTTAGAAATTGATTTAACCCCTTTCGCAACGTTAGCAGAATTAATAATGTTTTTATTTTTCACGATTGTCGATATCGTCGTTCTCGGAATACGGAATGCAACAGTTAAATCTCGTTAAATCTCGAACACGCGTGCCACTTTCATATTTCTCAACAATCTCTTTTTTCAGTTCCATTGTCATTTTTTTATTTTTCTGTTGCCTTTTTGCAATTCATGATTAATAAAAATAATAAAATGTTACTTACAAATTAAAATCAGAAGAAATTTAACAAAGTTATAAACCGTGGCACCGCGAACGTCTAATCTGGTCTAGTACGCCGATAGTGCTACTTGTTCATAGATGGCGCTTATAATTGAATTAAGTCGTATCCCGAAGAAAAGTCGTATACCGAGCAAAATTTGTTTCGTCCAAACAGGACGTATTCCGAATTGGACGTATTCTAAAGCAGACGTATACCGAAGTTCCACTGTATATATATATATACTATGTTCACTTAATTACCGCTACAATGATATAGCGCGAATTAGACGCGCTATGTCATTACTGCGGCAGGTAGGGGAGATCCTTGTATCTCGGGACACTTTTCTTTAAACCTTCGTAATTTAAGTTCAAATTGATCCTTAGCTACGACTATTGAATATTTCTATTAGTAATTGATAACATCGCTATACAGTATATGGTGCAACACGCGACCCTATGCTATTTTATTTATGAGAAAATGTCAAATAATTACTTACAATCCGCGATTGTACCTCGGGACACGAACCAATCGTAACGTTTTTGAAAATCTTAACTTCCGCCAGATGAAAGAAAAGATAGTTTATCCAAGTCTTTTCCTTTATAACAATATTAGCTCCATCAGTTAATAAAAATGTTTCATACGCTGGAAATGCGGGTAAGTATAAAGCTTAAATGTTCTGTAGAAAGCATTTAAATGATTGAAAACCAAAGATAATATTTTTGTATTAAGAAAAACAATAGTCATTACAAATATAGGTCGCAAACATTACTACTTACTAATTTTTTTTGCAATTAATACCGCATTTCTGACAGTAATTTTCAAAAAAGGTGCAATTTTCGTGCACCCACAATCGACAGGTAACGCGCCGAATCCAGTCTTCCGCGCTCGAAGTAGT